TCTTTCCCTCCATGACACTCACTCATGTGGCAGATATCTTATTTCTCCAGCTACTCTGCTGTACTTAAACCACTGAACATGGCTGGAGAAAAACATACCCATGCTGACAGATCCTTCCTACAATGTGTGACTTCAAATTTCAGAGCGAGCTCTCCCCTCACAAGCAATATGGTCAGTTCGTCTCATCAACGATCTCTCCCACTTATATCTGGAAGAGAAGATAATACTTCAAACCTTTTCCTTTCTCTTCAGACTTCTGCTGTCCCCTCGCTCCCTCTCCTCAGTCTCAGCTCATGGCTTCAACTTTTAAAATATTTTTATAAAAAATATGGATCAGTTCATGGAGTGTGTGTCATCTTTGCACAGGGGCTATGCTTATTTTCTCTGAATTGTTAGAATTTTAGGATACGTGCTGCCACAGCAAACATATGGCTTGTCTTTTATTTCACTGAGAAAACAGAAAGAATTGAAAGAAACACCAAATCTATCAGTTTACCTGATTCATCATCAATTTTTTCCTCTCTACCAGATCTTGTGTGTCAACTTACAAATAATACTGTAATATCTTTGATCTGGGAGAAAACTCTCCCTTGATCCCATGATCCCTCCCAGTTATTGCACATATATTTGTTCTACTTTATAACAAAGCTCAGTGCTTATCTCCACTTCCTTACATCCATATGTCTCCTCCACCCACTCCAATCTTGGTCCCTTACTACCTTGGTCCCACTGAAATGCTTTTGTCAAGATCTCCAGTGAAATTCATCTTAGTATGTCTGATAGTAAGTGCTCAGTTTTCATTCTACTCACCTCTCAGCAGAATTTGAGACAGATGATCCCTCCCTCCTTCTTGAAACAATTTCATCGTTTGACTTTCAGATCACCACACAGTCCTCATTTTCCTCTGTCCTCCCTGTCTTCTCCTTCTCATTCTCCTTTGCTGGCTAGCTATTCTTTCCGTTATGACCATGAAATACTGGAGGGCTTCCAGTCCCTGGCCTTGACCTGTGGCTCTTGTCTATGATACTCACTCATTCAGCAATCTTATCCAAGCTGATGCTGTAACTCCCACTGCTCCACAGATAGCCCCCCACTGATTTCTCTGGTCCTGACGGCACCACTGAGCTCCAGACTCTACCTGACAATCTCTACTTAGGTGTCTTAACAGGTACTTCAAATGAAACATTCAAACATAAATGTTTCGCTTTTCCTCCTGTACGTGCCAAACCTGCTTCTCCCTCAGTCATACCATTGTTATTAAATGGCAACATCATCCACTCAAGACAAAAAGTAGGAATCATCCTTGATTCCTCCCCTTATCTCTGCCCCTCTCCCAATCCATAAGAAAGTACTGTATTCTCTTAAGAGCATATCCTAGATCTGTCCACTTTTCTCTATTCCCACCACTATAATTTCAGTTAAAGCTGCTATTTTATCCGAACTATTGCAGTGGCTTCCTCACTGGACTTCCTGCTTCTACTCCTGCCTCCATTCAATCCAATCTCCACACAACAGACAAAATGATCTTTAAAAATGTTAATCATATTAATTGCACTCCCTTTTGGTGTCTTCACACTGCACTGAGAATACAATCCATTTGGCCGTAGTTTGCCAAGTTCCACGTGGTTTGGTCCCTGTTTCACTGTTTTGACAGTATTCCAGCTGTACCATCCTTCCTCAGACCTGAACGCTAGCTGTTTCCTCTGCCTGGAATGTGATTCACCTAGACCTATACGTTGCTCCTTCTTGCTGCTCAGTTCTTCATTCAAGTATCAGATAAAATGGTGGAATGACACAGGGAGGAAAATGTAATCCCAGAGCCAAAGTCTTCAGGTTAATGTTAGAAAATCACCAACAACTGGGAAATTGATAGAACTAGGAAAGCAATGAGTTGTTATGAACTTCAAAGTAGGTACACTTTGTGCCTGAGGTGGAAGAGAAATAATAGCTAGAAAGTGAATTGGGAAATGAAAATAATACCAGCTCTACCTTTGAGCACTATGGTACTTTGGGAGGTTGTAAGGAGAGCCCTCCTCTAAAGAGGGCTGCTTGTGGCACAACCAAGTTTCTGATAAGGCAAGGAAGTGAAGGAAGTAGTCTGAGAAAAAGGCTGAGAATACAGAAGATCTAAGAATGGCATACAGAAAAGTAGAAAGAATATTACATTAAAATTTGCATAAGGCTTCCCTGGTGGCGCAGTGGTTGAGAGTCCGCCTGCCGATGCAGGGGACACGGGTTCGTGCCCCGGTCTGGGAGGATCCCATGTGCCGCGGAGCGGCTGGGCCCGTGAGCCATGGCCGCTGAGCCTGCACGTCCAGAGCCTGTGCTCCACAACGGGAGAGGCCACAATAGTGAGAGGCCCGCGTACCGCAAAAAAAAAAAAAAAAAAAATTTGCATAACTACCACATAGATTGTCAGTAATAACATTTTGCTATATTTGCTTCATCTGTCTTTTTTGGTGACTTGTTTCAAGTTATATGCCGATATGAAAATGTCAGGACACTTCACCCCTAAATATTTCAGTATGAATTACAAAAGAAGACATTTTTCTCCATAAGTACCATATAAGTGTCACTTCTAATAAAATCAATATTATGAAAAAAGGCAGGAGAGAGAATTAATCTAGATTAAAGAAACTTTCAGATATTACAACTCAATGCATTGGGTGGTCTCTGAGTGAATGCTGGCTTGAAAGACTACTTTGGGACAATTTGAGAATGTTGAATATAAACTGGGTATTAAATGGTATTGGGGAATATGTGTTAGTTTTGGTAGATGTATTCAGTATAAATTCTATTTTTGGAAAGTAAAATTTTTAAAGATTTCTTTTCACAAGTTTAAGTTGTTTCATTGCAATTTGTTCCCCAGTCTTCTCATGTTTGATTGACAAAATGTGTTTTCTTAACTTTTTGAGACTAGAGTTCAGTTGTCATCTAATTTCTATTGCATTTCTTCTGGTTAGGCCCTGTCAGAAATTAAGCATTTTATTGCTTTCCGCTTTATTTTTGTGCAGCAAATATTTTCCACTGGTATTATTATTATATCTTTGGTAAACTCAAATTGTTGATTCTTTTTGTTTATGTAAATTCTTTCTGGTTAGATTGTTTAAAAGTTTTAAAAAGATATAGTGATGAATATTATCCTACTGTTATTACCATTTTCCAAGGACCTATTTCTAAATTCCATGTTAAATAATCCTATAACTTGGGTGATGGTGCAGTCATGATACCATTTAAATAGAAATAGGGGAACATTGAGTTAAGAAAGCACGAATAAGTATAAAACCAATTTTTCAAAAAACTTTGCATTCTAGAGAGAGACTTAAGATGTTTCATGGCAAGTATGACTGTCTAATGAACACATTCTGGTTTCAGCTTATCTTTTTTTTTGCATAGGGCAATACACGGAAGAATATACTCTAATAACAAAGTTCATATTTGATAGTAAAATTTGGAGTGATCTTATTTTTGCTTATTTTCTAACATTTCTCCATGTTCATGTAGCTTAGAAGTAACTTTTAAAAACAAAGGAAAACATTTTAAAGCAAAAATGTTATTGATGGCTAATAGTAGCAAGGAGAGGGGCAAAAAGAAATTTGTTTTTCATGTAAATGTAAAAATGACTACTGCTATCCTTTAAATGCTGAAAGGATAGATAATTATTTAAATATAAGTAAGAAATATATCATTAAAATATAATTTAAAATATATCAAATAATCCATAAACAATGAAATCTTAAACACTGTGAACAAAACAATAACTTACAGCGTCTGCAGTCATCCCCAGGCCATCATAATACATGACTCCTAACTGGTAAGTTGCCTGATGATCCTTTTCCTTGATTTCTTCAAACTGTTCTAATGCTTCTTCATACCAACCCTGTAAGCTCCCAGGAAATACTGAATTATTTTCATTTTTACCTTAAAGTAATCCCAAATACTTAGTTCCCACCTAAATCTAGCTAGCAGCACCAAATAAAACAAGACAGCAACAAATTTATGGAATTTGCAAGTAAGCTATTGACAACAATCAACACACTATGAAATCAATAAAATAAACCTAAATATGGCAACTGAGGGAACTGACCAGGAGGAACCTGGGTCAGACTCTCTTTGGCTTTCACTCTTACTCTTGGCTATTGCCAAATCACTGTCTAAATGATAGCCTAGCCCTCTGCTCATTCCAGCCTGCCATATCACACACTACTCCTAGAGTCTGAGAAACTTCAGAGATGGGGCCAAAGACTCTGAGAAAAGATAAACATCAGGATATCCGCTGCTACTAAATATCCACTATGATATGGCTCTTCCAGTTTTGCCATTTTCTAGCTAGGGAGAAGACACAGAAAAACAAAGGTGATTCTCCAAAATTCTCTTTCTCCCATACTTCCTATAAAAACCTACATGTTATATGTCATTCATTTAAGGCTCCTCAGCGTTATAGGATATAATAATAAATACGCTGAAGTATAAGGAACAAAAATGGGGCTTGGGCTTCCCTGGTGGCACAGTGGTTGAGAGTCCGCCTGCCGATGCAGGGGAAGCGGGTTCGTGTCCCGGTCCGGGAAGATCCCACATGCCTCGGAGCGGCTGGGCCTGTGGGCCATGGCCGCTGAGCGTGCGCGTCTGGACCCTGTACTCTGCAACAGGAGAGGCCACAACAGTGAGAGGCCCGCGTACCGCAAAAAAAAAAAAAAAAAATGGGACTTATGTCTTAATCCACCATGGAAAATGCCTTATGCTAAAGAATAAATCATTTGTAACAGTGGAAAGAGATTCTCTGAGTTGGAAGGTCATTACTAGGAAGAGCAGGCCAGAGAAAAGCAACTTTTGGAAAACACAGAAACAATTGAATTTCTCTTTTCATAAACTGTAATTAATCAACAAACTGATAAAATTAATAAAAACTGTACCAAAATGCTAACAAATATTTATCTTAAAGAACATATAACAATGAGTAAATGACTGAGTTGCAAAGATTCATTCTCCTTTCTGGCTAGTGTTTGGCCAACATATAAGAGGGCTGGAAAATTTAGAATACTCTATACAGAGGAAGAGAAAGGAAGTCTTTTTAGTTTTTCATGATTTTAAATACCATATACATGCTGGAAAATCTCAGATATATACTTTCAACTCAGACTTCTCTTTTGAGATCTAGAGTCTTACATGTAGTTTCTACTTTGAAACATGTATACTTGGATGACTGAGGGGACTCTCAAACATAAAATGTCCAAAAACTGACCTCCTGATGGTTCCCTCAAAACTCACTCCTCCCCACTTCTCTATTTTTCAGTCCATGATGCCATTACTTGTATCGCCAAAATAAATCCAGGACCCAGCTCCACTGCTGGGTCAAGATCACCATCCTCTCTTGACCCAACTAGTATAATTTTCCCCTAAACTGGTCTTGGTTCTATGCTTCCCTTCCAATCCATTCATCACAGTCTCAAAACACTTCAATGGCTTCTCACTACATTTTAAACAAGGCTTATCTAGAGTCATTCTCTGCCTTGCTGACCAAGACGTTGGCCTCTGAATTCCTAGAGCTCACCAAACTCTTCCTCATCTCAGAAACGTTGCATTTGTTCTCCCTTCTACCTGGAATGCACTTCCCCGTGGCTGTTTGCATTAACTGTTTCCTTTTCTTCAAGTTTTAGTTTCCACAACAGGTATTTCTGCCCTATCCCTAAGTTATTCTCTCTCAGAGTACCCAGTTAATTGCTTTCATAGTACTTTAACTTATTTTTAATTATATATTAATTTAATTTCTTCCTCTAGACTGTAAGCTCTATGAAATGGGGACCATTCTAACTCCCTCATTACTGTATAGCTAGTACCTAGCATAATAGTAGCAAATACTTATAAAGCACTTACTAGGTGCCAGGCCCTATTAGTATTTTTACAATTAATATACCCTCATAATAGCTCTATGAAATACATATTATTATCCCCTTTTACAGATGAGGAAACTGAGGCACCAAGAGGTTAAGCATTTGTGCCCAAGGATACAGTTAACAAGCAATAGAACCGTATTGGAACCTATGCCCAAAGCTGAAAGATCATTCTCTGAACCAATGTGTTACGTGATCCTCACAGTGACAGGTGCATTATGAGTCCTCAACAAATATTTGTTGCCAGAATGAACGAAGGAGCCATCAAAAGATAAGTAAGTGGGATATAGGTGAACAGCTGCCCAAACATTCAATGGATAGTGAGGGGTTGGGGACAGCTGGTCCCTTTTCACATCTTCCTTTGGGGTTCAATGAACAACTGAAGCTACATTGCTGAAGTTGGAGTGACAGTTTACACAGGTCCTCCTAGACCTACTTTGCAAACCTCAGCATAATGTGGATAAAGAGGGAAATTCCCTCCTTACTCCATACAGGAACATATAAAGCTGCCTATAAGTACTAGATAAGAATCAGGATTTTTAATTGTTAATAAAATGAAAATATTTTATAAATGATGTTGAATATATCGGGCAAAATATAAAAATTAGATTTTTAATTTATCATGTGAAAATGGATTTCATACCAAAATGACTCCTATAAATGACATTAATTAGAATGACTTTTATGGAGAAAGGTTGAATATCTCCGTAAGCTGGGACCAACTTATCATACTTAAATCCACAACCATAATCTATGGAATTTGACAGAATTTCCCTGGTTTAACAATGTAAGGAACTCTATAGGAAATTTTGCTATGAAGATCTAACAGCAGCTTTATATGAAAACAAATCAACAAAAAATGATACCTCTTCAAAATACAGTTGACCTCGTAGGAAATATGCCAGAGTATCCCCTCTTCTTATTCTTTCCTTCAAGAGGTGCAATGCCTTTTCCACCAAACTAGCATGGCTGTAATGATCTGATTTTTAAAAAAGTAAAGAATTCCATCTTTATCCATACAATATGAATTTTCTCTCTTAAAGTAATAAATTAAATAGAATTAATCTGACACTGTATTAGTTTCTTTCCTAGTTCTCATTCCTAAAACTGACCTCCTTAGTTCAAGGAAAAAGCACTACCTTAAAAAAAGAAAGCACTATCACAATACCTGACACTGTGCCTTATATAATTAAGAAATATATTGGCTGGTTGTCAAACTAACCCTCTTTCCTACTAGGCAGGAGCTCTAGCAATGCAGTCTATGTGGAATTCTTTAGACAAAGCTGGCCTGTGGGTGAGTGAACTTCTTAATTTGAGCCTTAATTAGAACTACTCTAACTAGATGAGCTAACCATCCCCAATTTAATTTTTGTAAGTCTATAGAAAAAAATGATAGGTTTAAATGCTAATTTCAAGTAAAGTATGGTACTGTTCTCTTTAACAGGACTGGCACCCGGCTTCTCTTTTCCAAAAGGGTGTCCTAAAGTCCTGAGAGTAGAACCAGGATCAGGGTCTCATTATGAAACTTCTTCACTGATGATTTGCTACCAGGTAGCTTCAAGCACTTTCACAGATTCTTACAGAAAAGCTAGGAAAGACTGTAAACTTAACCACTTTCTTGCCAGCAATAAGACTCATATTTCTTGTCTCTTTTGCTCTGGTGTACCTAATTAACTTTTAGTGAAAATATTATCAGGATTTGTACCAGTCTTTTCCTTTCTCCATTGGAAGAGTTTTTGGTTATTAGCAGCATAGTGGGATAGAGAAGTATAAAAGGAGTTCTTGGGCAACTTTTCACTGGTCAACTTCATCCTGTCTCCACAGCGGGTATTCTGTAAATTAAAAAATTATATTAAAAAATAATATGGTAGAATCTTCCCCCAGAAAATGCAAAAAGAGACTCCACTCCAACTTGGCAGTCATTATAAAAAGCATCTTCCTCTCATCACCTAGGGACAGGGCACCAAACTACCAGCTCTGGGATGTGAACATTCCTTCTTAGGAAACCAGGACCCTCTATAGCTATGAGAAGCACAGCACCCCTCCATGTCTGTTTCCACAGCACGGGATTAATGATCAGAGCTGTTTGCAAATCCTTTCTGGCTATGAGATCACACACTCCAGTGAGTCATGTCAACCACCACAGCTGCTGCCACTAGTAGGAACTGGTGACACTGCCCATAGATACAGTTCCTGTGCACTGGTACCTTCCTGCAGCCTTGTAACTGAAGCTCATCAAACTACTCCATTTTAAATGAAAGCATTTGTCTATTTTACCTGGGAATATACTTTATTTTAGCTGTGTTGTTCAGTTTTATCTTCCTGTCTGTATTGGATTGCCATGTTATAAGGTGGACCACAGTTGAAGGGAAAATCAGAGCCTTCATATAAAATGTAGAGGCCACCTCATCTGGGATGAAAGAGTCCAGGTTGGCCTAGGCTCAGGGTAGTGAGACAGCAAACTCAGTTGTTGCTATGCTTTTTTGTTTACTCCTTGGAATTCCACTGTTACAGCAGGCTTTCACCAATCAGGAGCAAGCTTCCAGTAAAGGTTCCTGATTGGTGGTGAAGAGAACTCAATAGACCTTTAGTATTATTGGAAAGCAGCATTTATACAATTTCATGATACTATTTTTGACAATAAATTGCTTCATTAATGAGAATGAAGTGCAGAAAAGGGAGATAATTCAGTATATACCAGAGAGAAAAAAATCACCGAAGTATCTGTGATTTTGGAAGAGTCATATAATCTTATGAGTCAATTTCCTCATCTGTTGTTTAGACTATAAGTAGTTTGAACTAGAGGATTTCAAAACGTCTGTCCCTAGATATGTAAAATTCTTTGATTATAGGACGCCAAAAATCTATGGTTGCACTAGTAAATATAAAAGCTTCCAATGAACTTTAGGGTGAAGCAATATTAGCTGAAGTGTTTAGAAGAAAGACAGTCCAAATAGGATGATGTCTATAGCACCATCAGTTTACTCAGAACTGGTTATAGAAGTTTTTATTTCACTGAAGACTTAAGCCCATGTGCTATTGTATCCAAAACGGCTAAGAAAAAAGTTGACACATTCAGGAAGGTCATCAGAAAAGAAACAAATCAGAAAGCAAAATCCATTTAAACTCACGTTGCCTTCTGTGGTTACAATACTCCACAGGGTTTCTGTTGCTGAAGCTTAAAAGAATATTTTGGGAGGACCTAGAAAATATAGGCAAAGATTTACTGAGCTCTTACTATAGGCCAGGATTTGTTCTTTGTTCTAAGTGCTTTACAGGTACTAACTCCTACAAAACTTTATGAAATACTGGCGGTTATGAGGCCCACTTAATGTGGGAGGAAACTGAGGCACCAGTGAAGAAGTTAAGCAACTTGCCTCAGATCACAGGGCTGGCAGGTGGGACAGCTGTGATGCCAGGATGCCTGTGTACTTTGTCATTATTCCATACTGTTCTCCAAAAAGCAGAGCTAACATGATTGTTTAAAATGGCAGGACTCCCATAAGAGGGTAAGCTAAAATTCAGTACTTTTTAATTTCAGAAAATGAGAACTAAGAGAAGATTTTAAACAGCAAGAGTATATGTTTATTTCTGCCAAATCTTGGGATAAGATATAAAATTATAATTTGAAACTTGACAAGTGTTTTTATAGCACGCAGTGAATTTAGAAAATGCTATAATAGAAATTATAGACCTTAATCGATGATGTAAAATATGAAATATGATTTTAAAAGGAAGGGCAGGTGTAGTAGACACTGACGGTGACCTTCCCAGACCCTCTTTACTAGTTAGTGCCCTATCTCCAGTGCTGTGAATGTTAATTGCTTAAGGTTATGCAACCACCACCAATATCTAATTCTACAACATTTTCATCACTCCAAAAGAAACCCTGTAGAAATTAGCAGTCACTCCCCAATCTTTTCCTCCTTTCAGCCCCTAGCAATCACTAATCTACCTTCTGTCTCTACAGATTTGTCTATTCTGCATATTCCATATAAATCGAATCATACAGTATGTGGCCTTTTGTGTCTGGCTTCTTTTACATAATATTTACAAGGTTCGTGCATGTTGTAGCATGTATCAGTACTTCGTTCCTATTTTTGGCTGAATAATATTTCATTATACGGATATAACACATTTAAAAAAATCTGTTCATCATCTGATGAACATTTGAGCTGTTTCTAACTTTTGGCTATCCTGAATAATGCTGGTAGTTTTCACGTACTTGTTTTTGTGTAGACATAGGTTTTTAATTCTTTTGGATATAAACCTAGGAAGGGGATTGCTGGGTCACATGGTAATTCTATGTTCAAGATTTTGAGAAATTTCCAAACTGTTTTCCAAAGTGGCTTTTTGTTTTTCCACCAGCAATGTGTGAGGGTTCCACAACCTCACTGACACTGGTGATAGTTCATCTTTCTGATAATAGCCATGCTAGTGGATGTGAAGTGTTATCTTGTGGTTCTAATTTGCATTTCCATAATGAAAAATGATGTTGAGACTCTTTTCATGTGCTTATTGGCCACCTGTTTATCTTATTTGGAGCGATGTTAATCCTTTGCCAATTTTGTAGTTGGGCTGTCCTTTTATTGCTGAGTTATAAACATTCTTTATATATTCTAGGTACTGGACTCTTATCAGGTATATAATTTGCAAATATTTTCTCCCATTCTATGGGGTCTTTTCACTTTCTTGTTTCTTTTGATCCCTCGAATTTTTTAAATTTGATTAAGTCCATTTTAAAAAAATATTCCCAAATCTTTTCTTGTAATTTTTTTCTTTTTTAAAAATCACTTTGAGGTGTTTCTTCCCTCTTTGCTTCCTGGTGCGCGAGGAGAGGGAATTAAGAGTGCTGCTTAAAGGAGCTCCAGAGATGGGTGAGAGCCACGGCTACAAGCGCAGACCCCAGAGACAGGCCTGAGATGCTAAGGCTGCTGCTGCCGCCACCAAGAAGCCTGTGTACGAGCACAGGTCACTCTCCACACCGCCCTTCCGGGGAGACTCTGCAGCCCGCCGCTGCCAGGGTCCCGGGATCCAGGGACAACTTCCCTGGGAGAACGCATGATGGCCTCTGCCGCCGCAGGCTCGCCCCGCATCCGCACCCCTCCCTCCCCCCCGCCTGAGTGAGCCAGAGCCCCCGAGTCAGCTGCTCCTTTAACCCCATCCTGTCTGAGTGAAGAACAGACGCCCTCCGGCGACCTACACGCAGAGGCGGGGCCAAATCCTAAACTGAACCCCCGGGAGCTCTTCGAACAAAGAAGAGAAAGAGAAATCTCTCCCAGCAGCCTCAGGAGCAGTGGATTAAATCTCCACAATCAACTTGATGTACCCTGCATCTGTGGAATACCTGAATAGACAAGGAATCATCCCAAATTGAGGAGGTGGACTTTGAGAGCAAGATTTATTATTTTTTCCCCTTTTCCTCTTTTTGTGAATGTGTATGTGTATGCTTCTGTGTGAGATTTTGTCTGTATAGCTTTGCTTTCACCATTTGTCCTAGGATTCTATCCATCCATTTTCTTTTTTTTTTTTTACTTAAAAATTTTTTTTCTTAATAATTATTTTTTACTTTAATAACTTTATTTTATTTTATCTTACTTTATTTTATTTTACCCTCTTTCTTTCTTTCTACTTTTTCTCCCTTTTATTCTGAGCCGTGTGGATGAAAGGCTCTTGGTGCTGGACCCAGCCGTGTGGATGAAAGGCTCTTGGTGCTGGACCCAGGAGTCAGTGCTGTGCCTCTGAGGTGGAGAGCCAACTTCAGGACACTGGTCCACAAGAGGCCTCCCAGCTCCACGTAATATCAAACAGCAAAAATCTCCCAGGGATCTCCATCTCAACACCAACACTCGGCTTCACTCAACAACCAGCAAGCTACATTGCTGGACACCCTATGACAAACAACTAGCAAGACAGGTACACAACCCCACCCATTAGCAGAGAGGCTGCCTAAAATCATAATAAGTCCACAGACACCCCCAAACACACAACCAGATGTGGACCTCCCCACCAGCAAGACAAGATCCAGCCTCATCCACCAGAACACAGGCACTAGTCCCCTCCACCAGGAAGCCTACACAACCCACTGAACCAACTTTAGCCACTGGGGACAGACACCAAAAACAACGGGAACTACGAACCTGCAGCCTGCAAAAAGGAGACCCCAAACACAGTAAGATAAGCAAAATGAGAAGACAGAAAAACACACAGCAGATGAAGGAGCAAGATAAAAACCCACCAGACCTAACAAATGAAGAGGAAACAGGCAGTCTACCTGAAAAAGAATTAAGAATAATGATACTAAAGATGATCCAAAATCTTGGAAATAGAATGGACAAAA